CGGGAGCGAGCGCAGCCCCCAGCGCTGGGCAGGACGGGGGGGCGGCGGAGCTCGGCTCGGGGGGGATGTCTCACCTGGCGTTGATGAGGTACTGGGCAAGGCTGATGTTTGCAGGGGTCCCTGTGATGGTGATTTGACGCTCCGACGACCCTTCCGTGGCGTTGGCGATTTTGATCTGCGCTCCCGACATCTGCCGAATTTCATTGATTTTGGTCCCCTGGCGTCCGATTATGCAGCCTATTAGCTAGAAAAAAAGCACGGAGGGAACGTCTTGAGAAGCGGCGCTCCCCCGCGAGCACGGCCGGAAGCCTTCCTCCCTCTGCCCTGGGGCACCAGTGACCTGAATGCTCATGAAAACAGGAGAGGGACAGCCCAGGGTGAACCCCACCTGCCCGCGAGCACGGTCCTCCCAGGACACGTCCTCGCCCCACGTCCTCGGGAGGGGGGTCAGTGTCGGTTATGTGCACACAACATCCCGGAGGGCTTCAGGAAGGGAGAGGCACTAACACTAGGCTCACGTCAGGAACAACAGCTCTCACGGTCTCACAATGGGTCCGTGTTTTTCAAGGGTCTGAGGACGGGAACAAGTGACGTTTCGGGCTGTGCTCCACACCTGCCCCCCCTCGCATCAGCTGGTGCAGCCACACGCCACTGATGGCTTCACATTGCTCACTCCATCCCACCCTTCTTCTACCCTGCTGGGCCATCCTCCCTGCAGCCAGTGCCCGCTGCCCCTGGCAGCCCCTCGGGCTCTTTCGGCGCAACGCGAGGGCTCGCGGGTCTGCAGGCTTGGCAGGAGGGCACCACGTGCCCCTGGTGCCAGGAGGAGAATTCTATCTCACTATGTGACTCGCCCCCTTTTGTCAAAAATCTGAGCCAGTTGGGAGGCTTGTATTTCCTCAATGGTCCTCAAGGGCTTGAGTTCCCTCTGTGGTCTTCATCTTTGCTCTGACTCAGTTGTGTGAATCCAACCGTGGTTCCCTCCAGTACTTCCACAAGCTGGCAACGTGGATCAAGTTGTCCAACTTTTCCAACACTGGCACAAGGTGTTCCCATATGCCCTGCTTGGCCATCAGCATTTGAGCTCCTTTCCAGGGTTGTAACTGGGAATTTTACATATGGGGCATTCATCTTGGACTTCTGTTGCTGTCTGTAGAAGCAGAGACAACTGCTATTCCAAATGTTCCCTGGCCCTGTCGTCAGATCATGGGGCTACTTTAGTGGTTGATCCCATACGGACCTGAATATATATCCCAGTGCAGCACTGGAAGGGTATCAGCTATCTGGGGCTGCAATGTCATGTTTGGCCCAAGAGCTGCCCATCCTGGTCTTCAGGGCACAGAAATAACTCAGAGGAGCTTCAGCAAATGGATACCCTTGGCATCTGGGAACCTGCTAAGCAGACCTGAGGAGTCAAACCTATTTGGAGAGATGTTCCACAACATCCAAGCCTCTCTGCACCACATTCAAGTTTCTCCTGACATTCAGAAGAGTGACAAGATGGATTCAATCACCAGCTTCCCTTCAACTCTCCTTTCTCTGCAGCGCAACCACAAGCTGATCAACCCCACTGAAACATGACTGCAGACTCTTTGATTCAAGAAATCCAAACCTGTCCTTTGCTTCCTGGGAAGGTGGCAGTGGGAATTAAGAGCCTTCAAAGCAACAGGAAGCAGAGCTGAGGAGGCATTTCTCAGCAGGCAAAAAGATGCAGGTGATGACATCTAATGCTGTGCAGGTCAGAGGAGAGCCAGGCTCTCCAGTTCTTAGTGCTCCCAGGTCCCACAGCAGATCCCTCAGCATGTCCAAGGGGAGGAAATGCCCCTTTCCAAAGGGTCCCTTGATATTCCTGAAGGCACCCTCCCTGCTGCCAGGGCCACGGTCCCCCTCTCTTGACAGAAATGGCTGTTGCAACCTCAGGAGCACTTGCAGAGCTCCCTGCAGCCTCCTGGAGGGAGGACAGAAGCAGAGCTGGGATGAGCTCCCCTGCCACCTCCCCCAGACTCCTCCGCCTCAGGGTGGAGCATCTCCAAGGGTTTCGGCCTCCAGATGCTGAGAAGCTGTTTCACTGCTTCCCTCCTTTGAGTGGAAAGAGGTCTGGCAAGTGTCCCAGAGGAGCAGAGGTGCCCAGCAGAGGTGCCCAGCAGCTGCAGCCAGGCTCACTGCCCTTCCCTTGCACTGCAGGGGTGAACAGCAGGAAAAAAGAAGCAGGCTTCAGGAAGGGAGAGGCACTAACACTAGGTTCACGTCAGGAACAACAGCTCTCACGGTCTCACAATGGGTCCGTGTTTTTCAAGGGTCTGAGGACGGGAACAAGTGACGTTTCGGGCTGTGCTCCACACCTGCCCCCCCTCGCATCAGCTGGTGCAGCCACACGCCACTGATGGCTTCACATTGCTCACTCCATCCCACCCTTCTTCTACCCTGCTGGGCCATCCTCCCTGCAGCCAGTGCCCGCTGCCCCTGGCAGCCCCTCGGGCTCTTTCGGCGCAACGCGAGGTCTCACGGGTCTGCAGGCTTGGCAGGAGGGCACCACGTGCCCCTGGTGCCAGGAGGAGAATTCTATCTCACTATGTGACTCGCACCCTTTTGTCAAAAATCTGAGCCAGTTGGGAGGCTTGTATTTCCTCAATGGTCCTCAAGGGCTTGAGTTCCCTCTGTGGTCTTCATCTTTGCTCTGACTCAGTTGTGTGAATCCAACTGTGGTTCCCTCCAGTACTTCCACAAGCTGGCAACGTGGATCAAGTTGTCCAACTTTTCCAACACTGGCACAAGGTGTTCCCATATGCCCTGCTTGGCCATCAGCATTTGAGCTCCTTTCCAGGGTTGTAACTGGGAATTTTACATATGGGGCATTCATCTTGGACTTCTGTTGCTGTCTGTAGAAGCAGAGACAACTGCTATTCCAAATGTTCACTGGCCCTGTCGTCAGATCATGGGGCTACTTTAGTGGTTGATCCCATACGGACCTGAATATATATCCCAGTGCAGCACTGGAAGGGTATCAGCTATCAGGGGCTGCAATGTCATGTTTGGCCCAAGAGCTGCCCATCCTGGTCTTCAGGGCACAGAAATAACTCAGAGGAGCTTCAGCAAATGGATACCCTTGGCATCTGGGAACCTGCTAAGCAGACCTGAGGAGTCAAACCTATTTGGAGAGATGTTCCACAACATCCAAGCCTCTCTGCACCACATTCAAGTTTCTCCTGACATTCAGAAGAGTGACAAGATGGATTCAATCACCAGCTTCCCTTCAACTCTCCTTTCTCTGCAGCGCAACCACAAGCTGATCAACCCCACTGAAACATGACTGCAGACTCTTTGATTCAAGAAATCCAAACCTGTCCTTTGCTTCCTGGGAAGGTGGCAGTGGGAATTAAGAGCCTTCAAAGCAACAGGAAGCAGAGCTGAGGAGGCATTTCTCAGCAGGCAAAAAGATGCAGGTGATGACATCTAATGCTGTGCAGGTCAGAGGAGAGCCAGGCTCTCCAGTTCTTAGTGCTCCCAGGTCCCACAGCAGATCCCTCAGCATGTCCAAGGGGAGGAAATGCCCCTTTCCAAAGGGTCCCTTGATATTCCTGAAGATACCCTCCCTGCTGCCAGGGCCATGGTCCCCCTCGCTTGACAGAAATGGCTGTTGCAACCTCAGGAGCACTTGCAGAGCTCCCTGCAGCCTCCTGGAGGGAGGACAGAAGCAGAGCTGGGATGAGCTCCCCTGCCACCTCCCCCAGACTCCTCCGCCTCAGGGTGGAGCATCTCCAAGGGTTTCGGCCTCCAGATGCTGAGAAGCTGTTTCACTGCTTCCCTCCTTTGAGTGGAAAGAGGTCTGGCAAGTGTCCCAGAGGAGCAGAGGTGCCCAGCAGAGGTGCCCAGCAGCTGCAGCCAGGCTCACTGCCCTTCCCTTGCACTGCAGGGGTGAACAGCAGGAAAAAAGAAGCAACGGCTGCCAGAACCAGTCCAGAGACTCCATCCTGATGAGGATGGGCTGAAGGTGCTTGTAGATGTTGGGAGATGAAGACAAGAGACTGGAAGTCATCCCACTGCTTTTCCTGATCCTGATTTGAGCAGCCACTCATTATCAACCCATGGGAAACTGGTGGGCCAGTCCAGAAGCAAGTGAGACCTTGGATCCCGGTGCCAGCTGCGTTGGGCTCTGCACCCCAACCTCCTCCCACCTGAGCATCCCCCAGCACCCTCCTCGCACCACTCAGTGCCTACTATGACTCCAGCCTCCTCCCAGCAAACATCCCAGTCCAACATCCACTTTACCACAAAGCCTCCACCTCTGAGACCCACCAGCTGACTGCCACCAGTACGAAGATGAGACGCACCACCCTTCAAAAGCCTGTGAGACACTTTGTGGCCTTGGAGACACTATTTACTTACCTCTCCAACCCCCCAGTAGCTACAAATTGAGCCAGTGCTGGATTAAGCAATTATGGTTTAATCAGGCCTGGCTCAGGAGCTCTCTCTCCTCCCCAGTGCTGTCAATGGGCACGTTTCATGAGCACTGAGTTCACTTGGAAAGGGAAAAGGAGCATTGGGAAGGATTGTGTCTAGGAAAGCTAGCAAGGGGGTAAAGTCCAGTGGGTGCTTTATGCTGCAGGCTGGTCCCCAGCAAGACTGCATGTGCCATGGGTGGACCTGGTGAGGGGGCATCTCTAAACATACTCAACAAAGTCATAAGCCTGCAGCTTACATATATATATATATATTTATGTATATATATATGGTCTCACACACACACACACACATACATAGATATATATGTGTGTACACACACACACACATGCTGAGGAAGCACTTGGATTTACTTACATCATTGGGAATGGAGAGTTCATGAGTACTGGCCGGGGGACTGGCATCCAAACCTGGGCATATGCAAGGGAAAATGGTTATCACTTGCTGAGGCAGCACGGTGGAGCTCCACTGCTTTCCTGCAACATCAGCACTGCAAAGGCTCCATCCTGCTCCGGGGCTGGGAGGGGAAGGGGATCACACACTCTGGTACAAGGAGGGGGAAGAGAGATGCTACCTGACCCTGCTGGTGCTGGGTGCCACCTTCCCCTTGCATTCCTCTAGCTGGCCTGGCCTGCACTACCCCAGGAGTGCCTCACTTTCCACCCTCCATCCTCCCCCTTGAAATGGCTTCAGAGGAGGGCACATTGTGGTGCAGCATCGCTGAGAAGAGGTGGGAAAAGAACCTTCCCTTGATGGCCTCCTCCAGGCAGCCAGCAGCTGCCTCTCTGGAGGCAGAGAGTCTGCCCACGGGAGCACTGCCCACGCAGCCCCAGCCCTCTCTGGGCACACAGGTACCACAGCTCAGTGCCCCAAAACCGGTTTCCCAGAGGGAACCAGCAGCACAGGGCAGCCTGCAAAGTATGTTATGAGTTGAAGCCCCATGGACCTGCACACCCAAGGTAAGCCAGACTGCTAGGACATGCACACTAGCTGGACCCAGGGCTGGTGGTCCCCCTTGCTCCCAAAGGAAAGCAAGGCAAACAGTACAGAGATGTTGTCCACATTCCTTCCTGCAACGTAAAGAACTTATCCTATGAAGACAGGCTGAGAGAGTGGGGTTGCTCAGCCTGGAGAAGAGGAGGCTCCAGGGAGACCCTGGAGCACCTTCCAGTGCCTGAAGGGGCTCCAGGAAAGCTGGGGAGGGGCCTGGGACAAGGACATGGAGTGATGGGATAGTGGGATCAGTGGGACCAGTTTTAAGCTGAAAGAGGGGAGATATTAGGAAGAAATTCTTTGCTGTGAGGGTGCTGAAATGCTGGCCCAGGTTGCCCAGAGAAGCTGTGGCTGCCCCATCCCTGGCAGTGTTGAAGGCCAGGTTGGATGGGACTTAAGAGCAAAATGGTCTAGTAGGAGGTGTCCCTGCCCATGCAGGAGGGTTGGAACTTGATGACCTTTAAGGTCCCTTCCAACCCAAACCAGCCTGTGATTTTGTGATTTAGAGCCTGCTTCCCTACAAAATTAGATGGCAAGAAGCAAAGGCAGCAGTGTGCTTCCTCCCAGCCTCCCCTAGGCCAGGGAGGGCACTTTCCTCCTTGGTGGGCAAGGCTGGAGCCAGCAGGTGACCCTGTGCATGCAGCTGCAGAGGAAGAGGACAGCATGCCCTAACACTCCTAGGCCAGGACAAAGCCTGCCTCTCCCACAGGTTTCTACGTGAAATCACCTCACTGCTGAAGCAGGGATATCCTTTGTCCAATCTGCAAGAGAAGCTGTCTGGTGGCTAACAGGAATTTGCAGCAACTGCAAAAAAACCCCCTTATTGATATGCTATGAAGTACTGATGAAGGTTTTTAAGAGTGGAGAAGAGAGTGAGAGACTGCAAGGTCTGTATTCAAGGGAAGAGGGGAATAAAGAGGTGGAGAGTAAAGAAGCAGGAGGAGATGGGAAGTGCTGGGCTGCTGTGACCCAAGGCAGCAGCTGCTCCCAGTTCCTCACACCACACAGCAGTATGATGCTGCCTTAACTGTGCTGAGCAGCTGCTGCCAGCAGGGGCCAGCTCTGCTGGTCTGCACCTCCACTGAGGTCCCCTGCGCTGCACAAGAGGAGCTCCTGTCCAGTTTTGCCAGCAACAGGTCTTAAAACCCAGCAGGTCTGAACTGATGTCTGTCTGGGTACCAGCACTGCCAAAGCCCAAGGTCTAAAACACTGAAATGAAGCTTCATGTGCAAACCCACTCCAGCATCACCCCTAGAAAGGAGAGTGTCCAGGTATCCTCGAAGCGCTCCTGCATCATCCCTGAGCTTTCCCAAATGCTGCCCCTCCCTTAGGGATGCCTGGGTACAACACGTGGGCATCAACTTGCAGGAGGCCTCTTCACCATATTTTTTTCACTTGGGAGTGCACAGAGGGGAGGAAATGAAGGGGATGGGGATACAAATCCTCCACTCAGTGGCTATATGCCCTCCTAGACCCCTGCAGGGCACACTAACGCCAAAGGCCACATGGAGCAGCCCCTGCCCAGGTTCTACACAGCAGGCACTGCTGCCTGCTGCCCTTGCAGCACGTTGCTGAGAGACATTTCACCAGGCCTGGACCATCTTTCACTCTGAGCCTCCTCACAGGCCAGGGCAAAGTGCACCTAACCCAAAGACATGTCCCTCAAGGTGCAGATGTCCCTGCCCCTCCTCTGCGGGTTACGAGCCTGGCAGCAGCCTGAGCGTGGCAGAAAATATCTTCTGAAGGGAGCAGAGCAACTGGGGACGGGCTCAGAGCAGTGCCAAGGCACCCAGGGGTCTTTGGAAATGCAAGCTAGGCTCCTCAGCCTCGTAGCTAGGTTGAGGTGCCACAGGTGCTGCGTGCCATAGGACTGCACCATCCCTGCATCACCCCAGGCTGAGGAATGGCCACGTCCTCCTCTGTTACCTGGAGGATGTTTATTTTAGCAGAGCAGATCCTCCCTCTCTGAAAGGCACATGCAGTCCCCCCAGGGCTGTGCTGTGTGGGGGGGTCAGGGCAGGATCAGTGCCTTGGGTGGCTGCAAAGGGCAGAGCAGGGCATGCAGGAAACAAGGCTGAGCAGATTGGGATCATGACAACTATGCTGGCAATAGTCTCGTGGTGTCTGTTTACTTGGGCCAGGTTTGCTTTCATACCCACGTCCCCAGACTCCTCTCAAGACACGCACGCGATGCCTCCCGGCTGCAAGGCATGGGCAGGGCAGGGCAGCCCCACATCACCCGGGTCTCAAGGGCAATTCCCTCTGAGCACTGCTAATTTATAAAAGACAAGCACGTCTGGCACGTATGGATGAATGTGCAGGACATGTGACATCAACACTTCCCCAGTATTTCGGGCCGGGCTTCGGCTCCTCGGGAGCTAAAAACGCGGCACGTCCCGAATGGCTCAGAGACAGCTGAAATGGCCTGTCACCCCTGCTCCCACGGGCATTCTTCTGCTGTTTCTGAGCAAAGTTTATGCAAAAGTAAACGAAAGAACAAGGGTAATGACTCTTACACAGATGCAGTTACGTGCAAACATCCAAAAACTAGGCAATCAACGCCGGGCGCTTCTGACACGCTGTACAAAGGAGAAGGGCGGGCACGGTGCTGCCCAGCCTCTCCCTGCCCACCAAGGAACCCTGATGCCTTCTCCACAAATACCACCATTTAACTCAGAGCACGACAATGGCACAGACCTATTTAAGGAATATATTTCAGCAGAAGCCTGCTTATTTCCCTCTAGCTTTGTGTTTTACCTGATGATTGGCCCATCAGATTTTGAGCTTCTTCGGAGGAATGTAAGGGCAGCTTTTCTCCTGAAGAGCAAAGAAGAAACAGGTTTAAGGCTTTTGCCTTCGAGGAGATAAGCAATGTCACTTCATCTAGGAAGCTCAAAATATGATGAACATACTGTCAAAAAAAGGCAATTCCAACTGGCACTTTGACCACCACCTAGTAAACAAAGGTACTTTTATGTTATCTCCATTCCCTGCGCACTATCTGCTTGCCAGGTCACCATGAAAACACCAGCCCTGGGGACAAGGCCACTGAGCCATGTCACGTCTGGCTGTCCTGTCAACGTGGCTCCTTCCCCTTGCTCTCCCCAGAGCCAGGGTGCTGCCTTGCCCAGCTCAGCACCACTCCCTGCAGATGCCAGGGCAGCATCCCCAGCCGTTCCCCCAGGGATAGCGGGGATGTCCCGCTGGGGTCCGGATCAGCGCACGGCAGGGGATGCCA